TCATGTATTTTAATGAATTGACTCTTTTTACCACAAAGAAAAAATTTAAAAAAACGATACGTTTTATTGTGGTCTAATTAGTTTAATGAAGGTAACAGATATGAAGATCAAAATCATATGGTTCGATAGAGGAAAAGTAGAGCTTCACAATGATATAATTTTTAATTAATTAGAATTCATCGTTATTGAGCTACGATGCTTTTAAAAAATCTCTATGTATTTGAATGGATTGACTCTTTTTACCCTATCAACACATAAGTGAGCTGACTCTTCTTACCCCATGTGGAGTAAAAAGAGTCAATCAAAACCACTCGACTCCCATTTGAATATATCTGGAAAATCAACATCAATTTTTTGCACTAGTGTGTACATAATTACCGTCTCTACCAACGTAGTTAATATCGAATTTGTTCAATTAAAAATGGATGAGAAATAGTGAAATTACGAAGAAAATTTCGTGCACTGACTCTCTTTATCCCCGAATACTATAATTCTTACTCGTAACATTTATTTTTTAACTTTGTAAATTCTTATTTTTCGCATAGCGTCAAGATGTAATTTATCTCGTAATACCAACGACTGCCCAACAAGGAACATTTTCGGCACTTGTTATTGTAGCATTTGTTCTAAAAACAATTGATATTATTCATTTAATTATACATCAATCAAATGTAGATTTATTTTTTATCGATTGGGAAAGATCAAAAGGCGGTATGTCGTCATCTGGACGGGTTTTTTTTGTAAACTAGTACGCATGATAGTTCATTTTATTTCTTATTTAGGAACTACTAATTCTGTATCGGTATGGCGAACATATTTTATAGCAAATGAATATGCTGAAATTCAAACATTTAGAAAAAATAATGTGACATTACAATTAATATGCGTTCTCTTTTTTTTAAAAGTATATATTTATCTTGATTTTGTAACTAAAATACATAATTTTTGCCTCTATTTAAGGTCATTAATCTTGAGCAAGTTGCCGTTGCTGAACCTGGTGTTACTTTATTTCCTACATCTGATTATTACAAACCAACTTATAATGGAATATTACGTGTTGGTATTGCATTTTCCATGTTTTTAGCTGTTGGTAAATAATATGTTAATAAAAAAATATTTTCTATATTTTTTAAAAATATCCGAATATATTTGATAGCTCTTGTACAATATCTTGTCTATACATTATTTTATCATCGTTATGTGCAAGATAGAATAATGAATTTGGTTGATTTATGTTCAGTAGCAAATGTGAGCATTTTTATGTTGACTCACACACAGTATGGCTATTATATACACGGTATAAATAACAAAAAAGATGCTTGATATCTTAAAATAGTCGTATATTATGACTTTTAGGTCGTAGTCCTCATGGATCAGCCGATGTGAACATGAAAGATATGATAATGAATTTAGAAAAAGAATCAGTATGTTTTTAATTTTATTAAAAAAATTATTAATAGAGAAAGACTATGTTATTTTTTTTTTCTTATTATTTTCTTCTAGCAACGTTTATCCAGGGGACGTGGTCTAGAACCAAACAAAGATCAACAAAAATATATAATGAATATTAGTACAACATTTCGTTCACAATTTAATGATTTGATACAATTCTATAGGGTATATTGACATATTACTTCTCTATTGAAACTTATCTTACATCTTCATATACATTGTTTTTCTGTAACAATTTCAGAATAGAATTGCTGCTCGTCAGAACAAAAAAGGTAACGAACATGAATCAGAAATAATTATGAGTTCTTATCAAAATTTAAATGATTTTTTGGGTGCCTTTATTGATCATGTAAGTATTTCATTTATTTCAACATTTTATCATTATTTGTTTGTTGTATTTATTTCAGTC